CGGATGTGTTGAATCACTTCTGGTTCTATCTCGCTTCCGTCACCATAAAGGGTGTGCGTTGGATACATGTGGTCTGGAAGCGTGACACCGTCTAACATGGGTGACTCCTTGTAGTATGTATTATGGTGTACGTTAGGTTGATTGAACCAAATTTTTTGGCCCGTGGTTGGATGAGTCATCAGTGGCGGAAGTGAATACCAGTAAGACAAATTTCCGGTGTCTTTCTCCCATTCATAACTGAAATTTTGTCGCTCCAGGAATTCTTCCACTTTCTGCAAAATAGGTGAGAACCGTTGTTTCACAAAGTTGCGCAGGAAAGCAAGGACTTTTCATTCGCTCTTAAATTACATTTAACCTTAAGTTAATCAAGCTCGTTCCCAACAATTCTTTCCTTAGATTCTGGGGGCACCAACCTCAGTAGATCTTGAATATGACAGGGGTGAATGATGTACTACACATGTCCGTGACATCATTGTTTGCCACCTTAAAAACGCCAAAATGTGAGGTTGTTTAGAAAATCCTTTCGCAAACGATCGTTGCTTCGTCCCCAGACCTCTCCTGTCTCTGCACATGCGCAGACGTTGCTCAGCTCTGTCCTCGAACAGTACAACAATTGGCCGCTTAGAACTGGGTCGGTGTTGATTTGAATTATGGGACGATTTTTGTCCCAATGTCGTGCGCAACTCGGTAATAACCAATGAAAGAAGAGCAAAACAGTCCCATAGGGCAATTGAAGTCGACACCGACCTAGCTTCACGCGCAACGTCCAAATAAATATTTGGAATCGGTTCCATTTTTCAGGCCTTTTAACAGTAATTTAAGGCTACATTCACACTTTACCGGATAGCTTTTTGTTCCGACACGCCAAGCTATCCGCTGTAGTATGAACAGTAACGGCACCGAACTGGAAAAAGTCGTTCACGCACATCGAACTTTGTGCCGGAGCGGATGGCCGAGTGGGCTTAATTGGTGACCTAAATCCCAGTTCTCACTCCTGAACATTCATTTACGTCTCAGTTGTTCTTCTGCCCCGCCTAGATTAGCTTTTGCTACCTGCGGGACAGTATAATTAATTAAGTTAACTCTTACTGAACAATAAAATTATGTTGTTGTTGTAGTGGATTCCATTCCTCGCTCCTACGTATTCTCTTGCGCTACGGTCCGAATACCTGTTCAACCTTCACCAAAGTGTGGCACCCCACTGTCAAGATCAGAGCGGCGCAGAAACCGCCCCGAAATCACCGTTCTTATGTGTGAGCAAAAGTCCGATAGGGTATGGTTTTCGCGCCGGCGAAAGAGCTATCCGGTAGAGTGAGAATATAGCTCTAGTCTCACCTTTCGGTCGTCAGTCATAAACGACTGCTGCCAGGATGCATATGGTTTATGTTTCTCGTCTATCAGGTAGCGAGTGTACCGGATCTGTTTTTCTTCCAGCTTCTTCACAACTGCTGGGTCCAGTTGGGCGAATATCTCGCTATTTCTGGCCAAGGGTGTCACTCCTCCCAATTCTTCGTTTGGCTCGATCAAGCAGAAGAAAATAACCTACAATATCAGGTTTGATGAAATGGAAACTGATCAGCGAAAATAGCAGGTGACTGTTGAATAGCGGTCAAATTTACAGTAAATATGGGAAGCAAAATTTCGGGAAATTGATAGGTGACCGCTTAATAGAGGTTTGACTGTAGTCTAAATCACTGAGTCAACGTCATGTAAGCAAAATAAATGCTAACTGCAGGCTGGATTTGAGATAACAATAAACATTTCCTTTGCTTTGATTATAAAATCAGGTGCGATAACCCTAATCATGAAAAGTAAAATGGACTGCAATAGACTAATGTGGTGGGAGTTGATAATATTAGGGAATTTAAGATGTTACAACAGCGACGGCAACGAAAACGTCAAAAAGCTATAGATTGGCCAGGCAAAACAACACCTTTGCACGTCCAACACACTTTTTTACATATTTCTTTGCCGTCACTACTATGATAAAATTGCCTAAGTTCACGTTTTATGGAGAACGTTAAACAAGCGACGACGATATTTTCTTTTCTCTTTCTGGTCTTAGGAATTCTGTTTCACAGGAGTTCGCCTGCAGAGTAAATGAGTTGGAATTTAAATCGCAGTAGAGATTGGGAGAACTCAAATGCACTTTTTAAGCGACGTTTTTCGCCGCCGCCGCCTTTGTGGTAACTTAAACTCTCTAATTAATCGAGACCTAGCTTAATTCTAAACTAACTTTCTTTTCATGTTAGTAATTTTAAGGGGGTAAACAAAGATCACTTGAATATTACTGATATACCTTTTTCGGGTGTACAGGTGAACATGCCATCTCGTTGTGCAGCTCGATGTTAAAATCCGGGGGATCACTTGTGGATGAGTACACTTCCGTCTCCCCTTCAACCAAGTACCTATTTCCGGTTCCTCCTTCATAATTTGTCGGCCTGTACCCAAGACTGGAAGCAAATTTGGCAAAATCTTTTGCATCAAACAAGGGTAGATTGCGGAACAGAACTGCATTGTATTCTGGGATTGCTTTGTCCAGCTGTTCGCGGCACATTTTTCCCCATTTCTCCACGCTTATATGACTTACAGTGTCTGCGCGTAGTGCATATGGAAGCCCTTGTCGAGGAGAGGCCAGGAACTCTGGAAATCCTTTGCCTTGGGAACCAGGTAAGTATTTCCTTCCCGCGATGCGGTGCTTGAATTGAAGCGTTAAATCTCCAGCTGGTATTGGAGTAAAGAACGCAGGATTTTCGGCAACTTGAGGACTTGAGACAATGGATCGTGATTGCACGATACAACAGAAGAGTGTTCGCGATACTTGATAGGACTTATTTCTGAGTAGACAAACTTTAGTCGCCAGCATCCTGAAAGAATTAAAAAAATCCTATAAATCGTCGGGTTTTGCTGCCGTCCATTTGGTGTCCCTCGCCCAAAAGCGTTTGTGGTATAAGATTCTCCCGCAGCACTTTATTCTCTTATACAATACCAATTTCAGCACCGAAGCACACTTACCAACTCTGCGGTTGAAACTCTGCGGTATGGCCAGTGCCTTACGCATGTGTACAACCGTATCATTCGGGCAGTGGCAACCAAGGATAACAGACCTCTCGCCTTGGGCTATACCATGCTGATGAGTCCTAGCAAGGACAAAACAGCTGCTGCCACTGCCGGGGTGATATGGTTGTGCGCATGCGTAAGGTACTGGCCATACCGCGGAGTTGGCGCGCCGTGTTCTTCAGTGTTGAAATTGGTATTCTTTATTCTCAGAGACTGCTTTTAACTTCTATCTTTTTCAGCTACAACTACAACGATCATCGATATAGATAAAAAAAGCCTTGGTGCCTAAATTACAAAGCCTTGCAGTGCAGCGTTTTCCAAATGAATAACATTAGACGCATGCGACAATATCTCTCTCGGGGGGGGGGGGGGGGGG